ATGAATGAAAATTTATTGTTTACTTTGAATTTTATATTTAAATGCATTTTTTTCTTCATGTTAATTCAATTTTTTTTAATTAGAAAGAGGCATACCTTTTTAGCATTTAATTTAAAACCAATTTATTACAGAAAAAATCATCTTCATAGTTAATTATTAATGGAAATAGATGAAGGTTTAATTAAAACCTGTATGCGGGATCATTTACTTTTGATTAATAACATATAATTCCCTATTAAATAATAAAAAAAATTAATAAAAAAAGTATATATTTTTTTTATTAAACATTTAATTTGTTGTTTAAACGATCAATTGATTTTAGTAATAATGAAAAAAGTATTTTTAAGCCATCCTTTAGAATGTCTATTTCTTCAAAACCAGAAATAATCTATTTTTAAAAGATTTATTTTCAACAGGAAAAACACATTTTTCTTCCAGAAACCTAAGAATTCTATTCACCATTTTCACTAAATCTCCCCAGAAAATGAAAACTTTACCAACGTAAAAAGTGAATTGAAATAAATGTCAGAAAAATCAATTGAAGCTCGAGTGAGTAAATTAAACATATGACAGATGAATGGGTTATTTTGTGTTAAAAAGAGAGAATATTGTACGTGGGAGTGCAGGTCACAATTAACTATTAATCGTATGTGTGATTCCATTTGTATTATATCAAACCCAAGAGAAAATGCTATAAACCAACAACATTGGAAAAAATATATTCAACAGATAGAATTTATTTCTTCAAGCTGATCATAAAAAACAAAAATAGTAATAAGAAGAAAATAATAACAGAAAGAAAAGCAAATAACTCTCAGTGTAAATTTTTGGATTATTACTCATGATACTTAGATAGCCAAGGTCATTCAAGTTGTCTCACAATTGAATGTGTTCATCGACAATTAAAATTCAATGCGTGATCTATCGAGTTGAGAGACCTAGCCGGTGGTTCTTAGTCAGTCTACTGAATCAAACAATTTTAGCTCACAATCAAATGGAAAAAACTCATGACATAATTTTTTCTAGAAGTTATCATTCTTTTAAACATCTATCTAATGATGACCAATTAATTATAGAAGGAGGAAAATTATTTATAATAAAAATAACATGAGGAAACTCATACACAGAAATAACCAACCACATTTAGTGTTATCACTTGACGACAATCATAAAAACACTGGCTGATAATGAACACTATTTGTATATTTTAAAAGTAAACTTGATATTACCTTTAAATTATGAGCAATTTGACGTATATAATATAGATCTAAATCTTGGAGTATTTCAATTGTTCCAGGATTTGGCGGTTTTTCATTCAGTAGGGAGTTATCACCACTGCTGAGGCGATTTTTTACAGTCATTGTTGAGGACTTCTTCGAGTCTCGTAGACTCAGTGCAGCAAGAGGAGGAAAACATGAATCCATTTCAAAAACACTGGTATTTAAAATGGAAAAAATAGCAATAATAACTCATGAATTATAATTGAATAAAAATAATAAAATTCACTGAATGTATTTGTGTATAGTTTGTTGTCACAATCAATGATGGGAAACACAAAAGAGCAGGTTTCGAGTGAACGGTAAAGGAAGTAAACTGGCACTAAGTACAATCTCAGAAAGTCTGCAAGAATGACCTATCGAATGTTTCGATCTTGCACGCGTTGTCCCTCGCTTCTCGCGACAAGGTGAATTAGAGATGACGTCAGTCTCAGAGAGAATTGAAGGGGGAAACAGGTATCTCACGTGCAAACAAACTCTTCTCTTCCCAAGTTCATCAACTCCCGAAACGAAATTTTTAGATAATTCATCTTCTCTTCACTGTAATCAATTTCACAAGCTCAATAATTGCATTTATTCACGTTTGTTTTTATCACTTAGATAATATTCTCACATATTACTTTGTCCTGACTGATGTAACACTGAGGATAAAAATGAGAAACGAATAAAAGACGGTCACTAGTTGCCGCGTTTCAAACTCTTCCCACGAACTCTAGACGCTCGAATGCTTATTGCAGCGTTCACTAGTCCTCTTTCCCTTTCCCTTTCCCATTCGACCAATATATTTATAGATCGCAAGAAGAAGGTTTCAGTCGTTTACTACAGACAGATGTGTTAATGTAAGTACGTATGTATGTGGTTGTCAGTAAACTACTGATATTTTTTGACAAAGATTTGAAAGTGAGATAATTTTTTAAAAATTTACTTATTTCACAATGACTCATCCCTTGCATTTTCAAACATTACTCAGATGTTTCTCAGTTTCTTATAGCAGACTTAACCCGACTGTGTTAGACTGTGTGGCATCGCTTCCCCTTCTTGCAATCTTATTATCGCACTTTCTCCCTCTCTGTTTCCTCCTTCGTCACCACGTTGGTCTTAAGCACCAGAACACTTGAATTGGCACATTTTACCACTATCTGCTAATTAGTTTTTGAAATAGAAAATTAAAAAATAAATATGTAATTCATGTTATCATGGATTTCAAGTGTTAGACAACTGTGATGATAACAGTGTGAAAATAAAGATGAAAAGATAAGGAAAAAAATATGTAGTGTAATCAAGTCAAACGTAATCAGTACTTGGATCAGCAAAAAAGAAGAACAAACTAATGTTAAAACCAACGCTTGTAGGAGACGTATGCGAACTGTGAATAATGACGATGTCGCAGTCTGTGCCCCTCGAACAATTCGAGTCTGTATGGGAAGAGGGGGAAAATGGTTTCAGGGTCGGAGGGTCTTATGCAGATATAAACCACACCATATAGACCCCAAAGGATAGGAGTATAGAACCTGAACCACAACAGCCTGCTGCAGAGGTACTTTATGCCTCAGAATTACGCACGTGCCCCCGGTGTAACATAAGAAACAACTGCTTTTAATGTACATATATACACTCCTAGTAGTTATGGTTTGGAGCGTTAGACATTCTTTTGTCTGTAAAAATCAGCAGATTTTTTATAGCTGCAATAGACTCCATTATTATATGGTGAAATACTCTACTTGTATTGCAGTTTATTTCAATTATTTTTTTTCGTTTTCTCTGCTTCATATTATTTTTAAGAAAGAAAATAATTTTTTTTTATTATGACATATTTAAATATCGACCTAGAATTCCCAACTTTTATTTCCCACCCAATCAAATTAATTGCTTATTTTTTAAACTCAATAATTAATAATCTTTAATTCACGATAACTAGTGATTAATCAATTCTTTTTGATGGCAGATTATTGCAAAATATTTCACAGATTAGTATAGAAGTGAATGCTATTTAAATTTAAATTCCAATCTTTCGAAATAAAAATTATTTTCATCTCTTTTTAAAATAGCATGTTATCATCCTACATATTAGAATTATTATTTTTACCCACATGCTTTTTTTTTTATCGAATGTCGTTTTTCAAGGTTATCAATTTTACACTAATTGAATATATTTTTTACATCCTCTGCGAAATAATAATTCTTAGATAAAGAATTTTTTTCTGCTCCAATAATGGAATATTTTGTAAACAACCAACACAACACTATTTATTTCAAGATGATTTGACAAAATAATAATTTATTGACCAATAGAAGGTTTTGTTCGGCAAATAAATCAACAGAAACAATAAAAACTTTCTTGGAAACTATTAAAAAAATAATTTATTTTCCAAGTCAATTTTTAATCTCACTAGCCCATCACAACATACCCCTCTATGCAATCAGAAAAATCATAAATCGACTGCATCCAGATGTATTGATACATAAATGGAATTGGATAGGAAGCGGGCGGATCTCTCAACTCGAGAGCAGTCGACAGGATGCTATCCTCGACGACACAGGATGTATGAGAGGGATTCCGGGTTCGTCCCCTTAAATTTAGAAAGCATATTTTTTGCCGGATATTCTTTTAATAAAATGATACTTTCAGGTCAATGTGACTAGAAAAAAAATATCACTAACATATGTTTAAAAAGTTCTGAATAAACACAATTATGTCATTCCCAGTAATCTACATATCATAAAATATATAATATTATTTCTCATAAAAGCAAGATAAAAATCATTGTAATATATTTTATTCATTTATTGCGATTATTTAAGAGTCGCAATCAACTTTGATAATTTAATATACAACCGTGGGCGAGTTACGGTAACGTTTTAAAATCCATCAGTCTTTCGATTGAAATGTCGTTGATAGCAGGCAAAAAGTGAAACGTAATCTCGTGTCCGGTGGCAATGAATATCCGGGAGTGCCCACACTTTTCTGCCCACGTAGTTATATTTATTATTCACAATCCAAATATCGTTGAAAAAAATATTTAATTTGCAGAAATCAAAGGAGAATGAAATAAATGATTAAATCTGATTATTTGAAATGTGAATTCAACATCTGATTTGTGAAAATACTTTGTACAAAGTGAACAAAAATATAAAACCACCTTTTTCTAAATCAAAAGCAAAGAAATGTAAATGAGAGTGAAAATGAACAGCTGAAACCATTCCTTTCATATGAGGGAAAATCTATTTCACCTAGGAATGAAAAGCTGTGTTAAAAGAAAGAACGATTTTTCACAGGAGTATGAAAAAAAAAACCTGATGAAAGAGGCGTTGAATACCGCCAGGAAGTTCATAGACGTGAGACCTATTCTAAAAAGGGTTGTAAAAAAAAATATAAAGACATAAAATTGTCAAGCGTCTCGAGTGGTGTCTGGCTGCTTCTTTTAAAGACTTTAATAAAGACAGCATTTCGTATTATGCTTGGTGATAATTACACTGCTTTATAGAATAGATATCATCTGCTTTTCATTTCATATACATTTTTCAAAATTAGGATAATTAATATAAATGAAAATCTTTTTACAAAATAAAAAAAAATATTCCTGACAAATTACTTTAATTATCTAGACCATTTAAAAATATTTCTAAAGAATATCTTTTTTTTTTAAATTCAATAATTACGAGTTTATTAAATAAAATATATTTTATTCTTTACTTTGTTGCTTCCAAGTATTGGAGCATGAATACAGGTTTCTTCAGTGAATGAAACTCCATCGAATGGCAATGTAGTTTATCGACATGTTCGACCAACGATAAACAAGTAATCTGAAAGTGAAAGTGTAAATACTCGAATGAAAGAACATCAGAAGCACCAATGAACCTTCTGACTGAATTACAATCACGATCGATTGATTGGAATGATGGCTTAATAAATTTGATGCAAGATTACATTACAGACTGTCAATATGAAATTTATTAGCGATTCAAATCAACTCTTTAGATGACTGCACCGTTGAATAACCGTTTATGCAAATACGGTAATGCCGGACGTAGCTTTTCTATCACGGTTATAAGACTCATGCAGTTTCATTAATAAGATTTCCAAGTTTTTTCAAGTGATCAATCATCGTTCTCTCTATTTAAAATAAGAATTTTCTATTGAATGTAGAAATCTGCTGAGTGATTAAATGGCATTTGATCAAGAAAACTAATATAGACTGAAACTTTCGATCTTAATAGGTGAGGAGAAATCTTCTTAAATATATTTATTAAACTAGATTCTGATTCATACTTAATTTATTTACAGATGAATTTTCTAATTGATAGGACAGTAAATATTAAACTGGAAAAACTTGAATAGTATGTTCAAGTGTTTGGAACACAGTAAGTTCAAGTACAACTGGTTGTCAGGAGTTAAATGTAAAATTAGATTAATATTTGGAATTTACGAGTTGGAGGAAAAAGTCAATGATCAAGGTGAATATTTAATTTTTTGCTTGGAATATAAACATCATTTTGACAGTATGTTTCTAAAATTGGCTATCACAAATAAAAAAATAAAAAAGTAAATTAATTATTCGAAACATTTTTTTAGATTGCATAATTTATCAACTTTTCATTAATAAAAAATTTAGATGTAGAGTACCCTTGAGATAGGTAATAATAATTTGAAAATTTAAAGGGGAAGTTACACTTAGCAATTAGAACAGTTTGTAAAAAGATATCTCATTGACAAAATTGAAATATCCTTAATTAAAATATTTTAGTGATAAATCGTTACAAAAAATTGTATTTAGGATTTAAAAATATGATCTTCCTATGAATATGTAAATCTAAATTAATGAACAAATATATTAAAAATAATAAAATATTTTGAGATTATACAATATTAATAAATACAAGTTTTTTTACCACTATAATTTTTTTTGAAGAAGGAGAGATGTCTCGAACTGATATTTTAATTCACTGAGTCTTTTTATATTTTACTCTTCAGTATCATTCGACTCCTGATTGAATTTAATATAACTTTAACTTATTATGCAAACTAATAGAATATACCGAAAATGACTTAAGAATGGTTCTATGTCGTCCACAAGATAAACTATTGAGAGTATCTTGAGTTTGTTCGTCTATTGAAAATTTTATGAGGTTATCGAATTTTGGAAAATCCACGATCTCTAAAAAAAATGATTCAGATTCAACAAAATAAAATAAGCAACCCTTTTATTGTACAATACTTTACGACTGAAATAATCTCAAAACGAATAAATTCATATAAAATTCCATTAAAAAGCCTAACAATAGAGATACATAAAAAAATAATCAATTTCCCTGAGCAATATCATTTGCATATAAAATTCTTTCATTTTATACGAGTCATATCAATCCAAACAATAAATTTTCAGCGATAAAAAAAAATCAGTGGAATTTTATAAACATGAAAATATAATGTTTACATATGGCGAATTTGATATTAGAATTTTTTTTATTACCATATTGAAAATATTATGAAAAAAAATTCCACCATGATTGGAGGAGACTGGGGCCAGTTGTGACATGGGTAGGTTGTCACAACCGGCCCCAGTCTCTCCTATCTATAAACTGTAATTCAGAACAAATTTATTGTTTGTGAATAGAAAAATTTAATTCCGGTACATTTTTCTAATTATAAAGATAGCAAAAAATTGATAGTACTACTCAGTTACAAATTGAGTAAAAATTAATTCTTATAATCAAAATCCAATATCTACAATAATACTTGTTTATCAATGAAATTTTGTTGACTTGATCTTGAATTATCAGTGAAACTATTCTAAGAATAAAAATCTATGGAAAAAAACTTGTTTAGAAGAAGAAAAAGTTTTTAAAACACATTTATTATTTGATTGAGAATATTCTTTAAATATTAAAATGACTTTCAATCTGAAAAAAATGGCATGCTACTTATGATTATGCCTTGCTGATAATAAGTAGGTTTGCTAATGCTAAATGATTTTTTGCCAACTCACTAAACTTTACAGCTATTAACCAAAGTCATTACTCATTATCTACTATAAGAAAGTAATGAACAGTATCAGGTTTGTAACACTTGAATGCGATGATAAGAGTAACGGATTGTTTTCAAACATAAACTCATAAACCTACTTCTCTACATTTTTATCTTTTTCTCTCAATGTTGGCTTGATTACCAAGTTGTCTATTGGATTGTGCACAAGAGTATAAATGTGGTTATAACCCAGAAACTTCAGGAAATGCAATACATGACTACGGATATGGCGTTACGATTCAGTGGAGATGTTGCTCTCCTTAGACTTGATGATCGTGTCATGATACACCCTATGTAATTATGGAGAAACTAATGATGCGAGTCTGGGTCGATTCCAATTTTGATCTATTTTGTAAGATAACTATGAATATACATGGCGTTATGTAAATTCCAAAAAATATATTAAATTCATTCAGTCTTTCTGAGTGACGCAGAATTTTGTTTGGATTATATTTGTGAATGTTTCCAGCAACAAACACCAGAATGATATAATGCATATTTTCACCTAGACCAAGTTGAGTATGACCAGAGGCTAAAGTCCTAAATAAATATACGCTTGATGATGAAAAGAAATGTGAAAAATAGGAAAATAAAACCACCTTTTTTTGTCAAAGTAAAAAGTAATGAATTGTTTTTTAAATTTTGTTCTAGAAAATTTTGGGTTTTTAATTGTGAGAAAGTTTTTGTGAGCTATAATAATTAAATTTATCTTTATCAAAAAAAAATATTAAAAGTTAATTCTGTCACTCAAACTCAGAAATTTGTAATTGAAAAAAGTTATATAGTGTAATAAAGTATTTTTTGATTCATTATCGTGTTCACTTTTTTGCAGTTAATTGTAAAGTGACAGTGATTGATAAAAAATTTTTAATCAAAATGTTTTAAAATTCTTTCAAATTTTAATTTTTATTCAAAAATCTATTAATCACTTTTCTTCAAACTACAAAATAAAAAGTAATCAATTTTTATAATTTAATAATAAAAACTTTAATCTACTTAATATAGAAAAAATATCTTAAATAAACATGTTTTGAAAAAATCAACTCTCATTATAAATCAATTCAAAAAAAGTTTCCCAACTTTAGTGATGATTCTTATCCATTTCTATACCCATTGAGAAAGTTCATAACGATAGGAACGCTGCATATTTAAATTCCAATATTTTTTCTTTGTTCAAGTATATTTTCCTACAATTTACTCAGATTTTAACGAGTTAAAATTTCCTCGGAATTTCGTAATTGGACGATGATCAAATAAATTTATTAAATCGTGGAAGCACAAGGGCGATGATTACTAAGCACTATCCAGAAACATATGTGTGTGTGGGAAATATTGAAGATATTGTTTAAGTATGTTAAAAATACCCATTGTCTACGCAAAGTTGTTTAGCAACCACTGAAAAATTATTCATGTCACCATTACAAAGTCTGCCGATTCTTAAACTCTTTTCCAATTATATATGGGTCCATTCAATCGATGGAATAAAATAAAAGTTAGATCATGAGATAATGAGGATGATCAAATAAAAAAAATATTTTCTACGTGTAGATCTCCTTATAAAAATTTTCATGTAAGTTATAAGACGATCCACGCATTTATTTAATATTGTGAAATAAAATTACAAAACCAAGTATCGATGGTAATTGCCACATCAGAAATATAATCAATGAGTTAAAAGTTCATTGACGCATCTCAAGTTAATTGCAATTTAATTCAACATAAAATAAATGTACTCAGGTGTTTGTAAGTGAGTACGATTCCTGGAATTGGTAGAAAAAAAATTATTTATAAGATAGAAGAGAAAGTGATAGAAGAGGGGAAAAAAAAGAATGTTAATTTGATAAAATTACATATCTATTGAGCTAAACCTGTCCTGCCTTTGCAAGACTTAGATGAATGAAGCTATATAGTTATTTTACATCAGTTAGGTATAATGTACCTGCGGCAATTTCATGAATTCACATTTGTTCCTGTATACACGGTCCTTCTATCTAAATGAAGCGGCAGCAAGTTTTCACTTTCGACGCAGAACCGGTCGTTGAGAGATGTGCTTTCTTCTCTCGCTCGAGGGTTATTTTACAGCATAGAAGTTTCAGACAGGTTTATTGGACAGTAGATTCCTAAATGTATAGTTCTATTATGTTTCACTTGAATGAAAATTGCAAGTCAAAATATAAATTCTTATTCCGTACTTTAGAGTTAATTGTTGTACTTTTGTAATGCTGATTAATATTAATTCTCACGTGATCTGATTTTTTGTTTTTTACTGAAGTCTTGTTCTGGAATTAAATTCCACAAGTGAAGTTAAACTTGAAGTTAATTTTTATGATAAAAAAGTTTGCTGAAACATTTATGTTTTAAAACGAATTTATTTTCACAATTTAAATTGGAGAAATTTCAAAGAATTCGCAAATAATTATCACTAAAAGCATCAATTGATTAAATTTTTTTAATTATTTATTTTATTTATAATTGTCATATTGCAATTTAATTAAATATTTATTAAATTTAAAATTCTGTTATTGATAGAAATGATTCAGTATCGTTAAGATTTTAATTTTAATTAGATTCATTTAAATATTCATAAATTTTATTCAATGCACGTGGATTTGTAGATTACCTGAGTCATTAAAAATCGAAATTTGAATTCATTAAAATAAATATTGTCTGAATAAAAAGATTTTAAAAACAATTAATGTGCATTTCGCACTTCAAATTACGTGACGATGAAAAAAAAATCTTTTCTTTTTGTATCTTTTGATTATGCGGTCCACGTTGGAAAAATACCTTCTGTAATGATTTTATTATACTCCTTACACATGACGAGAGAATATTATGCTGTCGGTCGGTCATTATGTTATAATCGTTTTTTTTTACATGAAATACAAAGTGAATTTCAATAACTCGACGTCGAAATTTTCAAATTACAATGATGATGCCGGTGATATGTTTCACGCAGAATATTACGTCATCACTGAGTTACATCAAGACATTCCGTGATTACGGAAGTTTTTAAATGTCCGGAAAAAAAATCGAAAGGAATTTTTTCGACAATTTACTTTGTCGGTAAAAGTTGATGAAAGACGACAGCACAATTTCAGATAAATTAGTACATAAAATCTCTTATAAAGTATTTCTGGAATGAAAAAAATGTAAATTTTAGGGATAATTATTTTCATTTCAATAAAAATGATTAGAAAAATAAAATTGAATTAATTTGATACGATGATTATGCTAACTAAATTTCCGCGTAGCTTGAAAAATAGATAGTGTAAAATACACTTAGGTATGTGTTTATAAGGTATTTTATATAATACAAAGGTGTGAAAAATAATATAGTTATTTTCTAGACCAGGTGTTAATATGTAAAAAAAATGTTAAATACTTTCAAATGGAGGAGAATTATCATTCTTACATTAACAGCCACGATATCATTAAGTTTTATGATAATATCTATTAATGAGATAATTAATTAAAATAATATTTTCGTCATTGTTGATTTTGGAAATATTCAAACATTAAAAAAAAGGTTGAAATTTTAATTCAGAAAAATAAAATTTTAATCATTTCAAAGAAGAATTGTTTTTTTTTTCTATTTTATAACAAATTATTTCTTACCAATTCAATGCCGTTATAATAAACGTACCTTCTAAGAACAATTTACTACGTATAAGATCTTTTTGTACTATTCTTGATTTTTTTCAATACTTCTTATTTAATGTTTTCAGGCTATACTATAACGGCACAACCATTACGAAAATAATTATTTACATAACTGACTTTAATTTTACAGTAAATCTACATTAGCATAAAAATTCAACCTCCAAACCTAGTCAACATTTTTTCATCCACACCTGTATTTCAAGATAAAATAATTTACTCTAAATTCTTTTGTAATACACTTGATATATCCCCAAGGAAAAATTCAATAATGACCCAGAAGTCATTGCTGTATTGGTATAATTACATCAATTGAATTACATTAGTAATTAATTATATTCTATAACCAATTAGATCGTAATTAGAGGCGGGCTCGAAGATCAAACAATGATTGTCTAGTGTATAGGTGTATTTACAATTTCAGCATGGGCCGTATGATTACACTGATTTAATTGCGTGCCATTGAAGTAGCTTCTGTTGTAGTCTCTACAAATTAAATCTACATGTATTCTGTAACAATCTAACATGTTAAAATTGTTGTAACATATTTACTTGGAGACATGTATACACAGTTGACATTTCGTGTTGTAATCGACAGGTGGTATTTGCCTTGAGCAGAATAACGATCGACCTCTTGTACTTGGTTTCTTCATCATTATTTTACATTGAAAGGAGTTTCATCTTCCCATCATCGTCGACAAGTAATGGTGTGTTTAATATTATAAGTAATATTTACATAACCAGCCAGACATTTTTTTATATTCAATGTTTGCAATTCAAAATAAACTATTTTCGACCTGGCTTTGTTATATAATTATAAAACTATTTTTCGAACACGACAGTCACCTTCGTTGGGTTTTAACAAAGTATGTATATAGAAATGAATTCGTGGTTGGGAGTGGTAACCGGTATTTCAACGTTCCGTTGATTACTTATTGAGTGAACAATGGCATTAAGAAAGTTATCCATCATATGAAATTGACACCCTGACATTATGATTGGATGATAATCCAATTGAACACGGAAAAAGCAATTTTGTGAAATTTACAACACAATTAGAAGTACATTAGCCACAGGAAATAGTTTTATTAGAGGTAATCACGTCAGTAACAATAAATGATTATCTTTGGCAAAAAAGTCTTCTTTCTTTCATAATCAACACGAGTGAATTAACTGAAAATATTGCTAGCAGAAAATAATAGTGTTATTAGATTTAATGATGATGATTTGATTGATTATTAGAAGATAAAAGTATTTCATTCAAATTAATTTATAGATAAAAATATTTTCCAAACAATGATATCAATTAAATTGATCAACAGTTGTATATCTTATTAAAATTAGAATTTTGATGATATTTAAAAAATCATTTCAAAATATATCATTAATATAATTGGGTCTTATTTTCATGTTACATTTGATTGGAGTAATATTTTCTTTTATAACTGAAATAAAATATTTGTTGGTAGAACCAATAAATTTTCTAGTATTATTACAAATTACACATTTTGATATCATTTAAAAAAGGGTAAATTTATATTGGAAGTAAAAGCCAATAGATTTATGCTATTCTCTACTTTATGGTTCATTAAATGGACTAGAAATAAATTTTCTATTATTCCATAAATAACAAATAATTTATAGAAGCACTCATGTTATACTGTTTAAATAATTAAAATAACATCAATAATTAGAACGTCTATTCCAACTTTATGATCTAAGCACTAAAATAATTTAATTTTAGTACATTAAATGTAAATCATAATTTTGCAATTATAAATCAAACTATTTTCAATAATCAAATGAGTAATAAGTGGTCGAGATATAGCCTAATAAATAAATAAAACAGCAATGATAATTTTCTATGATCAAAAATAAAATTAATTCGATATCAAAATGTTATATAAAGTAATAAAACGATATTATACGACTAGGATAACTGAATTATATTTATAAATTAAGGATAAGATATAAATGTACAATTTTATTCAACCTAATGAACATAATAAATTTCTTATAAAGCATAAAAAATGATCCAAGATATGGAACCATAATTCTAAGATTCACTTTATAATGAACAATATTTTGCTGTGTAATAGTGATAAATATATTTCGTATTCTAATCTACCCAGTCTGATAAAATGATGTGCTTAAACTGTACACTATCCTTTTTTAATTTTACTCATTAAGGTGATTAATATTAATTATTTTCCGTTATTTCTATTTCCTGTATTGAAGGTAATTATACAAGTTTATGTTTGCACTAAACTGTTGTAGATTTTATCATTCTACTTGCTATCCAATTTGTTCATAACTCAATTACTAGCAATACATGCTTTGATCTATTTATTCAACGATTTAAATAGAACTCTTTGATCTAATTACCACAAATGCGTTGTAATCGCATTAATGTTCAATTATCATAATAAGATATTGATCACAGCTATAGAAAAATGTGGAATAGAATAAACAGACCAGCAGATAATAAATATCACTTTTAAAACAATTAAAATAGTTTTCGAAATTAGGTTGTTTGATTTTGCAAAAAAAAAAATGTATAACCATTGTGTTCTACATTGCAGAAAAATTATTTTGCTTATGCACGAAAAGTTTTTAAAACAATGAAAAGTGGAATGATATCATAATTATTTTGATATGAATTGTTTTATTTTTTTGCCAACAATTGAAAATTTTTGTTGATTTAATTTCCTTGTCTATTGTTAAATTATAAAAAAATCTCTGAATGGGTTGTTTACCAATAAATTAGATAACTCACCTCATAACCATTAAATTTATTCTTACGAAGCATAATCAACTTGGCCGACTTAACATCACGATCACTATTATCCGAAATCCCTCTTGTGTCATCATTCTCATCTGTGACTTTAACAATCTTCTTCTTAGCCGTAATAGAACTCGACTTTCGATTTTTTTGAATAACATTAACTCTTATGGCACCAGGACGTCTTGAATTTCTTCGTTGCATAATTGGTAAAACATTAAGATCATCTAACTCATCATCTTCAGTACTTTCTTCTTGTTCAGGAACAACATATAACCGTATCTTATACATGATCACATTCACCAGAAGGTCACAACGATAATTATCAAATAAACAACCAAAGTTTTAACAAGTTTTTATCAAATTCACTTCTTAAAACGACATTATCCAGTTTGAACTATTTTAAGTACTAGATTAATCATCAAGAGCATATGCTCCCGTCAGCTGCATTTAAGATTCGTGAACTCAAACTGATCCTGATGTTCTAAAACTTGGAATAAAAACCCTGTTAACCTAGTTCAGACTTGGAATACTAATCATCTTGTTAAGACTTTCTTTTGCAATCCACCGGATATCAGGATAGCTGATAGTATGATTTACATTCTGTTCACATTCCTAAACCAACTTGGCTCGATATTTTTTAATTAATCAACCATTTAATTAATCTTGAGCTCTACAGATCACTGACTATATTCAAGGATAGATATAAATCATTTAAATCTGCAACTACCAACCTGTATTTACTCACTAATATTCTCTCTTATCGATCCTAACATGTAAATTGAATTACTGGATTTGTCGTAAGTCGTCAGTATCATAGTCAAGATTAGCCTACATTGATACTAGAATACAATTATAATATATTCATCTAATTGTTAGTAATGAATTTTTTACTATTTCTAATGCTATTTAATGACTGCTTCTGAATGTTAGTAGAAGTATCTGTCAAGTGTTTTGTGAAAGTGAGAAAATGGAATGACACTTATGTCCTCTTGTCCCTGCATTAAATACTCGAGCACGTGGTAGACCTCGTTACAACTTATTCAGCTGTTAAAGTCGGTCACCACAAAGAAAACAATTTCAACATGCATATATTAATAGATTAACAAATACTTAGTCAACCGTTTGTTCAACCGTTTTTTTAAAAGAGTTCACTTACTAAAGTTGATCTAGTTCAATGATGAAAATTACCAAGTGTTATGAGAAGCCAAAGTTTGATCAGACTTATTATATTATCTTGTTGTACTAATGTGAACTTTAGAAAGTCAAAAAGAGACCAAGTTGGGTGATATTGAAATTTACAAGGTATTTATGGTAATATTAATTATGTAGTCTTAAGTAAAATGTCACTGAACACGTAAACTTGGCAACGATCGAAAGAACACTGATAATGACGAGCGCGTTAGTAAGTACCACAAGTATATTGAGAGGAGGGCTACCTAACTGAAGCGAAAGAGCGGGACTGTTTATACTGCTGCAGAGAGGGAGAATCAAAAACAAGCATCAACTAATCAAGAGAAAGATGGAGAAAGTTTGTATATGCATACATGTATGAATTTAATTTCTTGATCATCATTTGACTTGATAAATGCAGGTCTTAGGTTGCTATCTACTATACCCTTCGAAAGTTATGAATAATTAATTTTTGTGATGAAAAAATAAATTGAAAACGATGTAGGAATGGAATTTAATTTTTGCAAAAAAAAACTGGGTAATTATAAAAAAATTAAAGATTCCAGGCTTCTAATTGGAGTTCGTTGTAATAAAAATTTGATTATAATTAAGAATCTTGTTAATTGAAGAAGAAAAAAAAAATTTCTTGAAAATTGATTTTTTATTCTGATTTAATTTGGTGGTTATTAAAAACTCAGCTGGCTTTTTGATAACTTCATAGTGTTTACCAATATGTAATATGCATTTAAGAATTTGCCCTTCAACAACATTTTATCTATTGAAAGAATAATTTATTTTTTATAGGTGGATTTATTAAAAATTATTTGAAAATATGCATAATTGAATAATAATGAGTTACTTCATAGAAATTGACGTGGAATTTTTTTTTGAGTAAAAAGTGATGATTATCAAATTGTATAACTGAAAGCTTGGTAGTTCACATAGTAAGTTATTCAATTGAATATATAATACAATAATTTATATAAGACAAGGAAAATATATTCCATCTTTCATATATTAACATATAATATTTTACTACGATTAAAACCTAACTATTATTATATAAATATTTGTATTTAATAAAAAGTAGTATTTTCCAAGTTTTTTTTTATTCAATTTCTTGTAAATAGAGTTTATTGATTATTAATTAATTACCCCTCATTTACATTAAATACAAATTTTTTTTTGTAAATATAGGTTGAAAAAATTACTTTCAGGGTTTATTTTAATATACTCTAGTTATTTATTCATGTATTCATTTATTAAAGAAAATTTTTTGTTTGAAACTAATTGTCTATTTATAATTTTCCATCAGGTAATTAGTAATGATGAATATTATAAAAAACGTCATTGAAAATGATATTGAGAATAAATAAACGATTATAAATCTTATAATTACATAAAAAAAAATAATAAAAATTGTTTGCAATGATCTATTTTTTTTACTTTTATTCATAACATAAATTTTTTTGTAACAATGTTTTGAAATTGAAAATATTTAACAATGGAGTAAACATTATTCTCCATAAGATTTGTTTATTTAAATTTCAAACAAATCTCTATAACGAATGAAACAATATGAAAATAATAATCAAAAAAACATTTAATTCCAAATTAAACAATAGAGCTCACCGAAATGCTCGGAATATACAACATGAATGGCAAGGATTAACGAACATTCAATAAGCCGGATGTAGGCCAGGTATTTAGGAATTTAACTGACATTCACAACAATAAACAGGTAGTTCACCCCAATAAAATTGGATTAGCACACAAATTAGCTATTCACAAGTATGAAACAAAGATTTTCCGAATTAAATCACCATTGGTGTCCAGCTAATTGATTTAAATCGCAGATTGTATATAAAAGGCATAAAAATTTTAAAACGTTACAAACGGTTTTGTATATCAACAGGTTAGCGACCTACGCTTAAGTTAATAACAGATTTATGGTTTATCATGACTCACCGGTTGCTTGCGTTCATGTCGAATGGTTTCTCTTCTTGTCACTCGTGAATGATAATCACTCAAACGTCTTAAATAATTATTTTCTTTTTGAGAATTTTCATTTGAAACTTTTCGCGACAATCTCAAGCTTCTTCGGTGAGGAGCCATTTTAACACAAAATTTCATCGATAAAAGCAATAGCGCAATTATCAACAAGCTTTCTCTGTAGATAAAACAGGTCTGAGTAATTAGTACACTTCAAAAGAGAGCGCTGCTCCAGATGTAGATTGAAGAAAGTCAGTGAGAGTTGAAACATTTGGCAACCGCAATTACACGTTATTGAAGTCAAATCGTTAAGTAAAGTTTATCAATATTCAATTAAACTAATTGAGCATCTTATTGACAATAAAATGTCAACAATATCAGCAACAGAAGCTCCGCATCTTCAACAAATTGACTTAACAAAGTTAACCATTCCTCGATTGAACCTATTGAAGCAGCAACTAGATAAGGAGCTCGACGTTTTTCAAGAATCACTTCAAGCTTTAAAAATAGCACAAAATAAATTCCAAGAGTCGGGTCATTGTTTGGATAAAATTACACCGAAAGCTCAAGGTAAAATAAATTCATTTACTTAATAATATTTATTATACAACTAGGATTTTAATTCTTGAATGTTTGAGGTTAGGTAGATAGAGTAATAATCTGTATGTAAATAATATTTAACACAGTTTGATATGGTGATTGATGATTTTTATATTAAAATTTTATATAATTCATATAAATATATATTACATTTAGAAACTATCGACTTCAAACATTTCTGAGTATCCATTATTAATTGATATTACTTTATTATTATTGTTATGAATCAAGCATACTCATGATTTGATTGATTTACTTTCAGGAAAAGAGATCTTGGTACCTCTAACAGAATCAATGTACGTCCCAGGGAGGTTAGCAGATACGGAAAATGTGCTAGTTGACATTGGAACAGGTTATTACGTGGAAAGGAATGTTGCAGATGCAAAAGACTACTTCACTAGAAGAGTAGCCTATGTTACGGAGCAAATGGAAAAAATTCAAATGGCTGGATTAGAGAAAAGTAAAATACGTGATGCAATTATTGATGTGATAAAAATGAAAATTCACGGTCTGTCAAAAAATGAAGGAGCTTGAAAAAGTAGTGGAGGTGTTAATTAAATAATTCAACGTAAGAACTCATTAATTTTATTTATAATTGATAAACATTATATAAAACTAATTCATTTTAATATTTTCGCTTAATTCACTGACATAAATAAATAAATGTTCCAATAGAAATTTGATTTAATCTATGAACTAAATGGAAATAAAGATTTTCAGTGGGTTCTATACAATTAATTTTTAATTAAGTAATAATTGAGTGTATGACAATCAATTATTATTATTTAAAATTAATGCTCTTAAAGTAGTGCATTATAATAGACTTATGTTCTTTTACGTACACAATACTGGTTCATTTAGTTCAAATAGAATTTAATTTAATCCAACAACTTTATTCTAGTTGATGGTCATTGAATTAAAATGAACAATGTGAATAAGAGGATTTTTGATATTTAACAGGAAAAATAAAGTTTCAATATCTTTCATGTATATTTAGCATCAGAATTGCATTTTATTTGGTTCTTAATGAACTAATCTATATTAAATTTATATAAAATATTCCATAATGTCAACAAATTGTTTTATTATATCAGTTACTCCACAACTCAATCAAATTCTCTAACTTACTTCGAATATTATACTAATTATTAAACCAAGTTTACTGTTGATTTTGGCACAAATACTCAGAACTAGTATCTTGGTTAATTTTTTGATTTCACAATATTATATATAGCTAAGAGCTTTTGATGTTCAGCTTTAGTTGATGTAAAAAAATTATAATCAATTATAATAATAGAAATGGACAAAATGATAAATTTTAAATAAAGTTTTTTTCATTTTAAAAATATTGATCAAAAATTTGTTTTATTTGTTAGGTAGGAATGTCATGAAGGATCAGGATATTTAACATGTATTTTCATTTATTTTTAACGAAGAGCAATAATTTATTTATTGAATATCGAAATGAAATATTTCATTAAACAATAACAGCATAATACTAGAAATTGGACAGGACGTATTTGTGTCAGCTACAATTGTTTTTTATCGGAGGTATCAAAATAATCGTCACAGGATAGAAAACATCATTACAATATTTGTATGATTTTTTTTTTGTTATTTTTACATATAATATTAATATATTTATTTATATAATTTATCAATACTTGATGGGGAAGTTGAGTTAATCTAACACAATGATTATTTATGTAGATTACAACACTCGTTATTTACCAAAGAACGAGTGATCACGTCCATTTAGACGTACATAATTCGCTAAATCATTATCCTATTTACATGAATAACATAGGCTTGTTGGAATCCTCATCGCTCAGTTGTCTTCTCTTTACATCTCAATTCTTTTCCTTTATTTTTATTTAAATTTTTTATTTTTTTAAATTTTATTACGTTCATGTTTTGCAAGATAATCACGCGTTTTAGTTTTTATTTCTTCATCATCTATTACAGCCGTAAAATGACTTATCTATGCATTCAACAGCACTCTCACTCTTCCGCTTAGTATCGCGTTGCAGTTCAACGTGAAAATTTAACTCTCGGTTCATTGGTGTTATCTGAGACCACCAAGCAGCAAATTAGCGGCTATTACCATACACAACCATTTTGCGGTATGCTTCGATGCTTCATCTATAACAAAGAACATAATTGTGTGAAGTTGAGAAAAAATAATTATTTGATTTCAATTGAAAGATAAAACATTGTTGGATATGATTGTTTTATATACAATACAATATTATAAATGTAAATTGTAAAAAGTGAATGGCATTACTAGGATGGGGGGAATCACGAGTTCCAAGTACAGGTGCCAATCTCGGGCGTTCCTCATCCAATTGCACTGTGGACTCTTCATCGTAAAGTTGGAAGACATTTGCATGACAAGTGATTTTAAGTCTGCCATTACTAAATTTGTCTTGGGTTATCTCAAAGTCCAACTCGGCATATGTTTTTGATCGATTGTCAACCTTTAGTTGAATATTTCTCTGATACGTTGAGTTCAACTGAAAATAGACAAAACACGTTTTACAATAATATTATGATGAATATATTCAATTCGTCACATTTATTTTACGACACAGGACAAACATGAAGATAAATATTTTTGTTATTTTTAGAAATATGATTTACTAGAGTAAATCTAATCGTACAATAATATTTAAAATTTTTTCAAGTGCTTTTATTTTATGTTGCAAAAAAAATTAATTAAGATGTATGTTTAACAGTACATCCTTATTAACATATACGGTAAAAGGATAACAAATTGATTTTAATTGTGGGAAAATATTTTTTTTGTCAGTTTAAAATAATATTCAGTTCATTTGATTAATAGTTGAGATGATCCTTAGTAAAATATCACATATGATGAAACTAGACAAATATTAATGCATTTATTAATTTTTTTACCTATACAGTCATTTTTATATTGCATCAGTTCTTTCCAACCCAAATAATCCTCTATTTTTTGAAAGTATTGAAAAATATTTTTTGAAAAATGCAAACAAAGTTTATAACAGCTATTTTTACCAACAAAATAGAATTTCCAGTTTATGTTGCACCACTTTTTCAATCAATACAAACATTCTAACTTGTATATATACGTTGTACAATAATTTTAATGTTATTTTTTGATTTATAAAATTTAATCTAGGAATAATTTTCCCTGGTTCATTATTTGACAAAACTTCATCAGTATTGTATGTCCATAATGACTTCATAATATTGATATTATTTAACTCAAAATCATATTAATAATGCATGAGTTGTTCAGTCTAATCAAAATATCATTCATTACATAGCAAAATTATAGATTCAGTATAATATAGAGTACTATTACATCCTTACGAGAATTGATCAATGTTTATTCATCAGTAATGATTATTTTTATTACGTGATTTAGAAAATTTTATAATTATCTCCACAAAAACTAGCTTATGGTATTTGTTTAGTGGACAATTAACTCTTCGTCATTTAATGAATATTATAAATTCTATAATCACATTGCTTGAGATTAAATTTTTATTAAAAATGGTACAGTATAAACATTCATAAATAGAGTTTATACTAGGTAATTGATTTCCCGAATAATTAATCAGGATATAAATTCTATAGGAGGAAATGTGAAAAAAAAAAACATTTTAATGCATGACTGTTTTAATGAAGAGGCTGTAAACGGATTAATTATATATCATATTTACAAATTAATGGTTTGATTCGACTACTGTATTGTGGTTTATTTAATTTTTGAAATACGTTTATGATCAGTGATTCCTGATTCCTTTTATTTTAATTCCAAGCTTGTGGTATGATGTAATTACAAGTAATTATCAGACTTAATTGATAGAAATCCTTCAATCCAGATGTAATAAATTTTTTTTTAATTTTACCCAATAATTTTTCAATAAGTACTCCTTATTAAGTGATAAAGCAAAAACATTATTCACCAATTAAAACTACTATTTTTTCTATGGGTTAAACAATACTCCAACTTTTACCAACACTAACAAAAGTTTTCAATTCTGCAACAATCCGATAAGCTATTGGGTGAAATATTTAAGCATAAAATCGCTCACTTTGTTGTAAAATAAAAAGAGATTTATGTAATAAAAGATAAATAAAAAATTTTGTAGCTATCAATTGAAATAATACATTGAACGAGAGGTTAAGTTTTATAAAATATTTAAACATGAGGATATTTTTTCCCACAATAATCATAACTGAAATGGAAATGGGTATATTTAAATTCTAAACAAAATACTCGATATTACTGGAGAATTATTTTCTTTTATAGCTATTAAAGCCTCTAGAGAGAAAAAGTACAATACAGAATAGTATTTTTAAAGTCTACATAAATGCTGACCATTTTTCAACACTCTCTCTCTGAAGAATTATTGTTGGTACTTCGAATTGAATACGTGTATAAAAAGTTTTCAAACTGGCTATATTTATCCGTCTGTCTATTGTATGTTTTTCAGGTAAAAACAGTTTAATGTTTTTGGATTATTATTAAATACATGTTTTTTTCATTCTTTTGTTGTGAATTTCAAAACGATTATCCTCTGTTTTTTCTTTCTGCTATTCAGTATTACAATAAAATATATCATCGTAATTAATAATGGATAAATATGTACAGAACTTGGAATAAACAACAATAAAAAATGTACAACATCTAATTAATTAAAGAACATTGAATGTTATGTAAACAAGTGGAGTAAAAATTAAATTGATGACCAGTTAATTTTATAAATGAAAGTAATTAGGAAACGAGAATTCATTTGAATAAACATGACTATGCTTTTTTTGTATGCTTATAAAAAGTTGAAACTTAAATGAATTCTATTTTAATTATTTGCGATAGACTCTGTAGACATGATGTTGGATATTGGTGACAAAAAAGACTAAATTGATTTTCAGATAAATTAGAATTAATTAGACAACGTTAATGTTAATCAGACAGTACAAAGCCGAATAATTAAACAAGTATAAAATTAATTCTGATAAATGAGTATAATTACAAAATGAGAAATTGATTTTCGTGATAATTTAATTATTTTCATCATGTTCATACAAGTAAAAAAATTGAAGATACGCTTTGAGACGCTTAAGAAAATTTTTTTCTTATTAAAAAGCTTCTTATATTAATCTCTATCTAAATTGAAATTTTATCCAACTCTTATTTTATATTTTTCTACTTTTTAAAATTAATAACAATTTAGCAAATTTTATAAAATTATTTTATTAAATCAATTCATTAATTATATATTCTGCAGCTCACGATAAAACTAATTGCAATTATTTCCACTGACACATTAATTATTATTAACTCCAATAAATTAAAAATCCATCAGATAACATAAACGTCATATTAAAATTCTAAAAAAACGTAATGAATGTGAAGCTAACTTTGATAAATGAATGTAATCGGAAGGCGAGAAATTAATTTCGGTGATAATGAAATTGTTTTCCTCATCCTTATAAAGATAAAAAAAATTCAAGAATGCATCGCGAGATATGTGGTAAGGTGTGAATTTTCACTCATTAAGGGCCTGTTGAGAGGTAGCAGCTTGTTACTTGGTTACAATTCTTGTATAGAACTAATTAAGTAAGAACTATGAGATAGTCCAAGTTCTGGACGTCTTTCCCTCAGTCATTTACTCATTCTTTGAGTGTATAGTGCAGGAACTTGTCACTTCCTGCCACTAATTTACACGTTAGATGCAGCCAGACGCCCCCTCTCTTTTCTTTATCTTCAACCTTCGTAATAATTCGCCACTGCATTGAACTGTACGTAGGATACAAACTGAATTCTCAGGCACCTCATAAAGTACTTGAGCACAGATTCTCGCTTGGTCCTTACTCAAGTACGATATTATACGATTATAAAACCAGATGAGCGGAAGAGGCTGGAGTCTCCAAGAGGGTGATAAAAGCACAAACAGCTCAAGGAAGATACATGCCTGCTTGCTATTATAATTCAAGAAATGGAATCTCGTTATGTAACCACTATTAATGCAGTAATATTCTCATAACAGACATTTACCTACACATATTTTCGTCATTATTACTTAGTTTCATCATTTTCTATGATATAATAAACTAGATACTGAATTTTGATGAAATATAAGTACTTAAATGTTGAAATAAAATTTTTTATAAGCTTCAGCACTTAAAAAAATTACTATTCTATTCTTTAATAGCTTGAATTTAACAACACGATATTACAACTCATCGTCGTTTTATTATAAATTGTTAAAAGAAATTTAATTTTTTATTTTATTATAAATTATTATTATTTTCCATCATTAAAAACACACGGAGTACATGATATTATAATTAATGACTGGAAATTTATTGACATATTTTCTCACGATACACATTGCTAATTAAAAAAATACTATTAATAAATAACTAAAATAATATAGTTTTTTATTATATTTATGATAGTGTTATTAGTTTAACTGAGTTGAAAGAAAATATTATGTTGGTAAATATCAAAGGTATTTTCCTTTTAAATTGTCAGCCATTAAAAAATTTTAGCTCGCGTTAAAATAATTATTTTTAATTACACTAAATTGTAAAGAATGAGAAAAAGTTTATCAATTTAATTTTAAATAAGCATCTAGTGAAATGTTTGAATTTAACATGGCTTTACGTATTAAACTAGTCATTTTAAGACAGAAAGAAATGGAATAAATAAATGAATAGATATTTTTTATTTGTTTGTTTGCTTTAAACTAAAGTTGCATCATTTCATATAGTAAAATAAATGAGATACAGTGTTTCAATTAAATTGAAGCTATTAAAAGAGATATGAAAGGTTGATATAATTGTATGATGGGAACTTATATTTGGTACTTGTTACTGTCATTGTCTTACCCGGACTCCGTTGACAGTCCAAGTGACATTAGCAGGTGGATTACTGGGAGGAGTGGTGCAGTTGGCTTTGACTGTGTCTGCAATTGCGTATCTCTGCTTCTCAACGAGCACCTCGGGTTTACCTTGGGGTAGATCTGAAAATATATGATCCTATTTCAAGAGAAAGTTCCATAGGGAAAAGGTACTTTGCTCTTTACACGACCTGAAATGGCGCATAACGTCCACGATCCAACGATTTCTACTATTTGAGTACTTAAGTATTTTTTTTTCTCTTCTGACATAATCATTTAATTAATTGAGACTATTTTCCAACCATTTTTTCTTTCCTCTACTTTGTTTCATTCATTTAAGAGAGCACACGGTTTGCACTTACTTCTCATTACCCTTTCAAATAAAGATATAATGAGAACATTTATGTACAGAAGTTGTAAGCAAATTTTAACATTTACATTGTGTTATAAATTAAAACATAAAATTCGAATTAGTCCTGTAATTCAATTTAGTCTGGCAAATATTCAAACATTGGTATTTTATTAAATTTACTTGTCAATTGATTTGTTAATTCGCTTTTTTGTTTTAGATGAAATATGATTTGTTGGCAAAAAGGTAGTTATGAATTTTTATGATCGTTTTTATTGTGTATAAGCGAGTGTAAAAAAAATCTATTATTTTATGAATTTACGTCAATTGGTTGAATATTTCCATCTATTCTGTATTCAAAATAATGCAGGCAAATTTTTTTATGAAAACAACATAATTTTTTTTTTTATTTATGGGTGTTAATGAATTGGATGTGTTTGCTTTATGATTTTATTATGAATGTGTGAAAGCAATTGAATATTTTTTGTTTTCATTGAATTAAAGTATGAATGAATAGAGACTATACTTTGATTCATTTTCATAATTAATTTAGTTGATTGTTTAGGAAAAGTTTCATGTATATTTGACGGCAAGTTTAAAATCTACTCAGACTATCTGACAAAAAGTATTTGAAACTTTGTTTTTTACTTAAAAGTTTGAGTTATATTAGCCGTCAACTCTCTGCTCATGAACTAGGTTACTATTTAAATCGTTTAATTAATATTATAATGATCAGCCATGCAAAAAACTTTTTAGAAAAAAAAGAATAACAATAAAAGTGACATCTGGAGTTTGTTTATTAGCTGCAAATATTGATATTCAATATTATTGAATTTCGGTTACCTTTCACTATAATAAAAGATGAAATTTCTCATAATTTCAAAAGTTGATGCATCAATATGTTTGTTTGAAAATAAAAGGTCGATAATTGACAAATATTATTCTTTTTTAGTGTTCGTTATTAACTTTAAAGCGTAGGTTGTGATACATTTGACACATCGATTTATTTGATGAAGAACTTGAGAAGTGAAAACTGATGACAGTATTTGTTGTCTCAAGCAATCAAGTAAGATGCTGGGCTATGATATTGGCTCAATACAGAACAAATAGATGTATAATTTGTTACGAGAGAACTATTTCATTTAATACTTTTTTTTTTTTTTTAATTCAATCTTATCCTGAGTAAAACCAACAGATATTTTTTTATAGAAATTTAATAAAACTATTTACAGTTGTTGACAAACTTGAGAAAATTCCCCAACAATTAATTGTAAATTTTCATTAAAAGAGTCTTTTTAACTTGAACTAATTTATTTTTACAATTATCAAATAGAGTAGTAATTTTTTAGAACAAGTTGTTACATTTTTGACCCAATTAAAATTAACTTGAAAAATGAAAGTTACTTTTTTCATATTGGAAAGTTAATAAATTTAATATTAACAATGGTTATTAAATTCAAAAATTCACTTCAATCCAATCAAATATCACTTGATAAAAAATCATTAAAATTTATTAGAGTGTTCCATAAACAAATTCCTGAACGTAGAAAATGGATTGAAGTCCTAACGAGAAATATCAAAAAAATTCAAATACATTTCTCGGGAAATATCTATCGACAATTTTGATATTTTTATAGAGTATATATGTACATACATTGATAGTTCAATGTTTTATTGCAGCAAATGATAAGAGTACTCTTGACCTGTGGGCCAATAAAAAGAAAAGTGGATCGTGCTATCGGCAGAGTGCAGTATACAATTTTTCGTGAATTTTTTATCAAGTAAAAACCATAAAAATGAAATTACTTACTGACTACATGCATGTATCCAGCTTTCAACAGAGTATGGAAGTGTGGATCATTGGAAACTTCACAGCGGTATTTACCTTCCAGATCAGACGTAACATTAGTTAAGGTTACTCTATAAGCATCACTCTTGGAAATCTGTGAAGGAAATGAATGAATATTCCATTAGTTTGGCATTAGTCTAGTGTCTGCGTTATTTTAAGCTTAGGGTGGTACCCACTGAGGGTATCGAGTTGAGAGAACATGAACAATAGTTGAGTTGGAATGGGAGTTAATTCGCCGGTGGTCGAACCGCACTATCAACCATTGAAAATCTATTCTCGGCTGAGTATAACACCGCCAACAACTATTAATTATATCTATGCATGTATATATGATACTTGTGGCAGGATGTAAATCATCTACAATCAATTTGGTAGGTTTGTCGGTATGTAACTGGCACGTGCATACAAATTTTCTCCTACCCATTCTACGATTTACGCGTACAGTGGTTGACCAGTTCCAACGTGCTGTGAATTGTTGAAAATGTTCAAGCACGTATGCGTAACTACTCACTTTAGAGTTTATACAAGAACTACAAGTATTATTTCCTAACAATAATAACAACTACAAGAGTTTAACAAAAATTTATAACCGTTGAAGTTTTTATTTATTTGGTCATACTTCAAATGAGAAAAAGTATAAAAATGTTGAAAAAGATTTTTGGCAAATGATTCTGGTTTTTTTTTGTGATGAGAGAAATTCAACTGTTTCATTTGATAACATGAGAATTTTGTAGAATATTTTGGATAATTTTACAGTACAATATAAAATGTCATTTGCAAATTTATTCAACGAAAATTCAAGAGACAAAATTGTATGTGCTTTGATTTATCATCGTGTTCATTTGACAATGAATGCTATGCAAGCAGTAGTGGCATCAAGTTGAATGAGCTAGCTAGCTTTGTGTACTTAAATTAAGTAGACAAAACGTGTTTGGATGCACTATTGAAATTCAATTACAGTACGTTATCAGCACAACTACTTATTACCTGCCTTTTAATTGTTCTGTATTATTTAATTAGCATTGTCAAAGCTTTGTAACATTCGATATTCCAGTCAATTAACGTTGAAACGAAAGTCTGTAATTCGTTGAAAAAAACTCATGGATGAGTTGTCTGACTCCCAGGAACTGAAGCTAGAACTTCCCGAACACGAATTTGTTCAATAATATGTCGGGAGGGGTTGAACGAATTTTTTTTTTTGACATTTTCAGAATAGTTTTGAAAGCAAGGTTCATTCTAGTTAGTTGATGAGGTCTAGGGGGTATGAGAAATGGTTTGTTAATTTTATGTCCGGGCGATTTTGCAATAAAGCTTTATTGGAAGATCTAGAGAAACTTGATCTAGGTAAAGTGAAGGTAATTTGAAATGAGAACATACCAAGAGGTACTTTCAGGAATTAAATTAAGAGAAAAAAGATGATTGGTAATAGAATTGGACTGATTTTCACAGAAAAAGTGCACTATTGGGATGAACGGAGCATAGTCAAGTTTTAAAGTCTAACAAAATATCCTTTTTTCTAGAAATTTTTTCGCAATAAATTAAGAAAATAAATAGAATGATTGAAAATGAAATTCAAGAGCTTTTGTAATATGAAACGAAATATTTTACAAAGAAGAATAAAATTTTTTCCAAAAGCTGCTGTTGAAAGTGCAGGTGTTCAACTTTGATATACACCTTCGTTCATGAAAAATTAATGATTTTTCGTTAAAAGACTGCTTTTTGAAAGTTACTCCAATTTCTTTACATTTTAAGTGGTTACGTAATTTGTTCAACTACATCAAAGAACAATTTTTTCATACACGGAACCATGGGTAACTTTTGTTAAATATTAACTAGGCTTCTTATTCATCGATAAGATGATCAATAATAAATCAACTCTTCTTTTATCTTCACAAGTGAATATCTAACCAGCTAATATTAGTCAATCAACCAATTAAACATTTATTCAATTAATACCTAAAAATAATCTACTAAAGTCAAATTCTATTAAAAAGCTTTTTTCAAACCCATTACTTTTTATTCCAATCTCAAATGTCACTTTTTCCTTAACCCACTACGTTTCATATTCACACGTATTTTCCTTTATCCAGCTCAGAATAACTGAACCCCGTCAAAAATATAAAACCTTGATCAAAATCCAATGGCTATTTTCCTTATCTGACCTTATTTATTCAAAAATGGCAACATCTAGAAATACTCACATCAACATTGTTGGTGAACAGTTCTCCAAAGCCGGAAATACGTTGGAATTCTTTTGGCACATATCTGTAGAACTCGTCCTTCCCCTTGTACCACTTGACTGCATAGAGGACGTCGGTCTGAAGGTCGTAGTGGCAAGTGAGCGTGACGGTAGAGCCGACTGCAACAGCCTCGGGTATTTCGACCGAAACATTGTGCAGTCCGTTGACACCTGCAATGGTTAACTAGTTAGATGAACAAGTCTAGGTAGTAAAGTAGTGACTTGGTACATTCTAATTGGAGAGACTGTGGTGATTCTCTCAAGTTTGACGTACAATATTATCAGTGAAAAGGGCAAGCATTCAAAAGACGAGGTTAATTATAGGAAAACAACAGTTTATAGTAAATAACATTCAGGTATAGAGGCAGCAAGAGTAGTATATTTGTAATGAAAGTTTGGGCCAGCAAATATACAGTAGGATATAATAGAGCGCTTAAACAATCCAGCAGTAGTAGTGTATAAGAGCTTAATGTTCGTAAGCTGGAGTACCTTATTGCCTCCTTCCACCTTCGCTCAGCACATTCCCGCGTTGTGCGAGCGACTTAAATGCCTGCATTCTCTAATCAGCCCATATACTAATTAGAATTACCATGATTCGCGGAGTAATTATTTGCACACTGGAGGGAAGTGCGAAAACTGAGAAACAAGAGACTGCCGCTCTGGCAATCATGATACTCTCTGCTTCTGAGTGTTTTCCGAGACATCATGAGGTCGATGACACGCTCTCAAGTATATACAGAAGGGAAGAGACAGTTCCTCGTTTTCCACGCTCTGTCCGCGCGGGCGCACAAACTCCTGCTTAATTACTAATTACTTATCTATTCGTGCGATGAGAATACCAAGTGTATAAACCTGGATCACTGATCCCTTCTTCATTTTATTACATTCTTTATATTCACCACTTTTTTAGAAGTTTTATTCTCTAATTAGGGTAGAGTTGGGATTTTTGGAAAGGGATCCCCATTACTCAACTGATAACCAAATTGTTTGAGTGGTGTTTCAACGAACGTCGTTGCTTCTCTTTTTTGTCAGTGATGAAAAATTTTTTTATTTATGAGAGATATTTAATAAAGGGAATTGCTTGGTATAAAGAAATTCATTTTCATAGAATAATTTTTTTAAAGCCAACTTTAGTATTCATAGAATAATTTTAATTTTTTTTATCCAATAATTTAGTTTTTACTTTTCACTAAATTGAATGAAAATATTTTGATTAACACCTATTTAGAGTGACAGAAATTTATTCAAAGAAAATTATTATCGTAATTCTTTTTTTAAATATTTTAGTATGTATATTTTAATTATTTATCAATTAATTTGTCTCTCGTTTAACTGAACACGATAATAGTCATATAACCGTTTATTGTCAGTTTGACATCCCATTAATAATCTGCTATATTGGAAGTATTAAATCTTGAAAGTAGTTTTTAGAGTTACATTCGTGATACATAAAGTTTGGCTTGCGATGAAATATGTATGAATGTACTACTCTTATTACTTATTAAACAACCCTCGTATACTAGTATTAACTATTAAAATAAAGACTACTAAATCTCATAATTTAAGTAGCAGATCTTATAGAGTATATTTACAACCAAAAACAAAATTTAACATTGAAACAAAACTTATTTGATTACCTAATGATAATTAATTTCTTCCTTTAACTCATTCACACACATAAGCATCCGTTTTGATAATTCTTTCACTATTTTGTAACAAAATAAATAAACAAAATTATCCATAATTATCATAATTATTTTAATAATTTAATTGTTTATTATGTAATTAAATGGTTAATTAAGTTAATTTTATATCATTAAATCTAAAATGTTAATATAAAAGCCAGTTTTATTTCTTTCATTTAATTCATGTTTAAGAATATGAGAAAAATAATAACTCTTTAAAAAAATCTGAAAGCCACTTTCATTCTTCTTTTCAAAGGATTTTAAATTTCCCCTTTGCGTTTTTTTACATTACATTATTTTCCCCATAACTAATCTGAATCACACCAAAGCGAGAGAAAAAATTATTAAACAAATTAACGGACTTTTAAATAAAAATATTAGTTTGTTATCTGAGGATAAATATATCAAAATATAATGAAAATCACGTTAATTACATCAACGCTTAATTAATAATAAATTACCACAAGATAATTGTTTCCCAGAAATTTTTTTATGTTAAATATTCTAGAGTTTTTAATTTCTTGAAAATTGTAGCTCTTTAAAGAGCGCCAGGTAATTGTTCTTAATAATAGCACTAACATTAATTTGAACACCACTCGTAGCAATTTAACAAATTTTCCGTTGGTTAACTATTCCAATGGAAAGCATGGGTAGGGCAGGTATCCCAACAGTACTCTATTCAGCACATTTTCAAAAAACATTTTATTTTCAAACTACACACTTTCTGTTCCGTTACATCAAATAATGTACATAACCTTTGTGTAAATACACCGTTTGGCTGAAATGCTGACCATTCATAGAAGAAAAGCTTCTAAACCAAAATGAGATCTCTTTCTTCCCTTCGAAACGCAACTAAATGAAAAAACTTGTATTCCCACTGTTACCATCCTCTTTCTTCTTGCGTTTTCAAGGGTTTTTCTTTTTTTATATTTTTTTAAAGCTGAAAGCTTTTATTGTTTCGTAGAAAAGTGTCGGCGAGGGACGTTAGAGGGTAGTGGAAAAGGTTGCAGAGACGAATGTCGGAGCGTCTGTATGTAAGAGTAGAAATGAAGGGGGTGAATCACGTTAAAAAACGTTGCAATACGAAGCTCTTGAGAACGTGGTTGAAAGTGGGCTTTCGTTTGGAATACATACAACTTTTCTCGTGCGCGAATGAGGAATTACAGCGTACCGCGTGCCATGAGGTACGACGTGTTTACCGGTGAAAACAGCGTTTTTCTTTCACTCGTTTCACTTGTCTCGCTGCTGTGGTAGATTTTCGCTTTTATTTCGCTTTCATTCAGTTGTGTAGGAAAAAATTTCTGTTCCCATTCTGCTGTGTTTCGACTGATGAAACCGAATATTCATGTGAAAGGTGAACGAAAAAATAGAAAAAATACATGGATAAAAAAATGCGGCTTTTCTCTCCTACCAAAGTCGTTAATTCAGTTGGACGCGAGGATACGCGCGTGGGAGAAGAAATGAAACACGTCCGCACACAGAAAATAGGGGAAGAAAGGGTTTTGTATTTTGCCACACGGTGTCAGGTGACTAATTGTGCCATTGAATAATCATTGGTGTGGTGACACCTTCCATAAATACTCTAGATACATGGCCTACCTATCGTTAAACCATTGGAAATCGATTCAATGCTTCCACCATGTTTTAGTTCAACGAGTAATAATCATAGCTTTTTTATCTTACTGCAATAATTGAAATAAAAAAAAAAAATATATATACACATATCTAGCTGCTGTACATTGCAGTGTATTTTTCACTCCGAAAAAATATACTTCTGCTTAGGTAGAGTATAGATTTGCAGCTTTCAATCAACTTCGTCTCGAGCTCATTAAATTTCCATTTTGCTATGAGAGCTGATATAAGCTATTGTTTGTTGAAAAATAATTGGTTATCAAATAGGATCATAATTATCTTCATTAGTAACTGGGCATCATTGATGCACTGAAGGGATGATTAATAATACATTATTATGAATTTTTTTTTTTCATTTTTTTAATATAGAAAAACTGTATGATGAGGAAAATAGATTATTTGGTGGTATGCAATATTAGTGATTTTAATCTGTAATATTTATGAGGAGTATAGATTATCTACAAATAAATGAGTAATTCACAGAAAACTAATCAAAAAAAGTTTCTTTTATTGGTAGAACTTTGATTGCGATTGGTCCAAGTTTTTGAAATTGATAGCTTAATTAGAACATTTTTCTCTGAAGAATGTTTTTTCATATTTTAATTTGAGTTATATTCGGGTCTTGTGAAGGGAGTAATAAATTTATTAAATTTATAATTATATTTTTTAATATATTACAGAGAGTTGTGTTGGAATAGAGACTAAATGGTTTACTAATTAGTCTATTAATAGTTGTCGCAAAGCGAAATAGTGAATTAATATTTATTATAAGGCTTCTAACTAGTTGTAATCATTTTAGTGCATTCAGTTGAATTATTTTTTTGTTTATTGAAATGTGTTATAAGTAAAATATTGTTTCAAAGTTCTAATTTTTAATAAATAGAATTTATTATTCGATAAACTTTAATAAAAAGAAGTTAATTTTTAAAAGTTTCATCTATTAAAACGAAAACAATAGATTTTTATTAATAGAACATAAGGTTTTATATAAAATTTTATTTAACAACTCTTCTTTACTAAGAACGATACTTTTTAAGTTTCCTCTTTCGTTAAGAAAGCTGTTTTTAGTAAATGTGAAATGTGAAGACATCTTCAAGTCGAAGAATTCAAAAGTCGTGAAAAAGTTTTAAAAAAGATTTATATAAATCATTTTAAAAATATAGCAAGTCTAATCGGTGGAATATTTTACGATCAAAACATTTTTCAAATTTCATTCGAATTTCCAACGGAATGGATGAACTACTTTCAGTTCTTTTAAAAAATTTTTGATTAAACTGAACAGAAAATGGAAGGAGAAATTTGTCAAAAATATTTATTCCTGAAAATTTCTAATGAATAACATTTAAGCTAATTAAATAATCATGTTGAGACAACTATAAACAACTTGTTTAAAAGGCATTAAGTGTATTAAAATTTCCAAGTCATGGTTGTGCAAAAGAGCATCAACATTACTCCAACAATTTAAAAAAATAATTTATTGATGAAAAATTTTTATGTACAAAGTTTTTGCGAGCTACTTGAATAATGTAGCTAGTTCAAGTATTAAATACTCAGCTTCACAGTATATACGACATTTCGAAACAAGTTTTCGTAAAAAAGCAAAATTCGATGTGGACGCAGCCTGAATGGCGCTTACCTAACTTTTATACGATTCTCGTAAAAGCTTTACGAGTTATTCCGAGTATACGCCGATACCCATGTACACTTGTCTCAACAAGATTCAGTGTGATGGTTGGTACCAGCTACAACTTTGCTTTATAAAGACCTTCATTATTACACAAGTTGACGAGTAGGATGTTGAAACATGACTCGTTTTAAAACTATTCAGTGTTAAAACGACAATATTATAAAACT